CCTCAGTGTCACTGCTGGACTGAGAATAGTCCACCAACCAAAAATATCCAGCCAACGGCGTCCTGTGGGCAGCATCCTGTGACCACTGATAAAGGAGTAGAGGATGACCAACACAAACTGTGCAGCAGCAGATGAGCTATCGTCTCTGACTTTACATCTACAAGGTGGACTGACAAGGTAGGAGTGTCTAATAGAGTGGACGGTGAGTGGACACAGTGTTTAAAGTCCAGCAGCACTGGTGTTTCTGATCCACTCATACCAGCACAACACACACTAACACATCACCACCACCACATCAGTGCTACTGCAGTGCTGAGAATGATCCACCACCCAAATAGTACCTGCTCTGTGAGGGACCATGGGGGTCCTGACCGCTGAAGAACAGGGTAAAAGGGGGCTAACAAAGCATGCAGAGAAACAGATGGACTACAGTCTGTAATTGTAGAACTACAAAGTGCACCTGTATTAAGTGGAGCTGATAAAATGGACAATGAGCGTAGAAACAAGGAGGTGGTCATAATCTTATGCCTGATCGGTGTATATGGTTATTAATGGACTTCTGTCATTGTAATACATGCTAGGTGCACAAACATTTAAAACCAATTAATTCCTCAGAAAATAGGTGAAAAGAAGTCGAGTGATGTCATCAGTGTTATTTTTATTTCAAAATAAGAGATTTTTTGTTACGCAGTAACACCAGTGACACAATTCCTGGGGACTACAACTTTCATTAATTACTTTATAATATTTATTTTGCGTTTGTTATTTAATTCATATATTTCATAGTCATGTATAGATTATTGCAGTTAAAATTGCAGAAAAACATGTTGTTGTTTTTTTTACCTCAAAACATTGCACCCTTTACACATGACCTTGAGGACGAGCACTTCTGTGGTGGTTGGAATTCTATATAATTGATTTAAAAACCAATATTGCTAAATTGAGGCTCAAGAAGGTGGAATTGTTAAAATAACGTATTGTTTTACTTTAAAATATAAATACATTGTAACCCTAACATGTTTTTCAAGTGTAATATATCTGTAAACGCTAGGGACACAAAAATGGACGTTTCCATAGAATGACCATATTTATTCTTTATTCTATTTATTTATTTACCTTTTCCTGTACTTTAATATTTGTTAATAGTCAGTTTGCTTGTCTGGTCTGTTTAGTATGTTGGATGTCATACATGTTTGACGCAACAAGACAAACTCCTTGTATGTGTAACATACTTGGCGAAATCGAGTGATTATGAAGTTAGGAACTGTTATTCTGTAATAGCTTCAGGCCTAACTGAAGTTGTCATGGTGACCAAACAGATATGAGTCTGGATGTTTCTCTGTAATATCAACCCTGATGTGTAAAAGGCATTGCGACCTCTGGTTCCTATCACCACCACTGTGAAGAGGCACAATGAACAATTTAATTCTCCTTTAACAGAAACCAACAAGAACGTTGGGAATTCTTAAGAATTCTCAGCCCTCAGCGCTACAATCAATACCTGTACAAAAAAGTCACCTCAATTTCACACATGAAAAAATGTGTTCACATGGACAAGAAAAAAGTGTGATCAGTTGAAAAAACATAGTTTTTATACACTTTTCATGTGACTTTCAGTGTAAAGGTATTTATATTGTTTTTAGTATTTATATTATTGTATTATATAGACTTTCTGTTTTTTAAGAAGAGACAACAGACTCAGTTATACCAGCCAGTAAAACCCTGTGTAAATAAAACTACTGCTTTAATATTTCACCATTTTTTTCCATGTCAGTCAGGTTCTAATCTTAACTGCTTTCTGATTGGTGCTCCAGAGTTACATCCTGACCCGCATACACATACTGCTCAACATCCAACACACACACTCACACACTCACACGCTCACACACACATCAGCAGGGTTCAAACACGCAGCAGCACGAAGAACATCACCTTCAAACAGACTTCACAGGGTGAACTTCACGCTTTGAACGCCTGAGCTCACTTTTTCATTCCTTTATTTATTTTATTTCGATAAAACTAAAACCTGGAAATGAGATTTGAATCAGATTTAAAACTGCAATAACATTATTTTCCATTTAGATGAGTGTTCAGAACTACTGAGGTACAGAAGACAGAATCATTTGTTGATTTTCAAAAATCTGAAAATAAAGGAACACACTTCTGCACAGTCTAATGCTTAACTTGCTGATTTTAACATTTTGTAAAAAAAAAAAAAACCCTGTGCATAAGTGTTGGCACACTGTATAGCTTTTTTAATACAAACTCAGTAAATAAATAAACATTTTGCAGGAAAATGCTATATTTAAGTGTGGTAGAGGGTGTCATTTGATGGGGGTGTTCAAACTTTTAAATATGACTGTAAACCAAAGCATTGCAAGGACAGAGAGAGAGAGAGAGAGAGAGAGAGAGAGAGAGAGAAAGACTGCACATGAATGTAGAAATTAACAAAATCAGAAATTACAAAATTTTCAAAATTTACCAAAATAAAAAACATCATTTTTTTATGATGTGTGTGTCATAATGTCTTTAAACAGCCTTTAAAAGTTTTTTTTTTTTGTTCTCATTTTAACTTAATTAATTCTTTACTTTATTTTTTAATTTTTGGAAAAATCTTTTACCAGCACTAAATACTATAATGTTATAATAACATTCTAATTAATAAATCATACTTATATTTCAATATTACAATCATATCAACACTAAACACAACACAAACTGTTCAATTTTTAATTTTTTTTATTATTTATTTATTTATTTTACTTTAGGTTCACATTTGAGAATTTAAAAAATTAAAGATGCTAGTCATCAAATTTGAGCAATTTTCTTACACTGTAAAGAAATGGTTCATCGGTTTAACCTAAAAAAAATGATGTAGTAACAATTTAACTAGTTTTATTCAACTCTGATGAACAAAAGTGATATTTTACATCAGTTCAAACCTCAAAAATGTTTCGGACATTTTCTTTTTCACACTGCAGGATGTTTTGATATTTGAAAGCACCAATCAGTGAGGTAAAGCATGTCATATAACAGATGCAAAACAACCTCACATCCTAGACTTAACTACAGTCTTCCTGAGTTAGATCTAATCACAGTAACGTATGTACCCTATACGCCCTTAGAAAAAAAAATCTATTAAAAACAGCTGTCTGACTGTCTGACACACGTGGGTTTGATGCGCAGACCATTTGCTGATTTCAAAGCTGTTCCCACACTCCTTCAGGCGCTCGCTTTCCAACATGAACCAATTTGCACTTCAAACCGGCAAGCAGCTCTCCACACAGTGTGTGTGTGTGTGTGTGTGTGTGTGTGTGTGTGTGTATGCTCACTGGCCCAGTTACACTCAGCAGAAACACTCGGGAGTGTAAGCTGTGTGTGTTTCAGTGTCGGCCCAAAGCTTCTTCAACACCATCCACTGAACTCAACCAGCCACATTACTGCCTCCAAACGCCTACAATTCCCACAATCCCCCTGTAGCTGCAGGTACAATCAGGAAAACCACTGAGCAGCACCATTTAACCCTTAGAAGTCTGGAGTTCTGTTGGTTTGCTACACTTTATTAAAGTAAATAAGCAATTACATCATTAATTACACAGTTATACAGTAATGTGAAAAAGTCAGAGCACCACTAATTTATTTAATTTCCAGAAAGACCTGCCGTTAAGTACAGGTTAGTCATTTTTCAGGAGATATTTCTAAAGAGATTAGTTATGAGATAACCCACTTTGCATAAGGGAGCTTAAAAACTGATTAAAAGCTACAGAGAAAATAAAATAAGAAAACATGAGAAAATAAGACCCCTAAACACTGGTAGTAGGGCTTATGGCAAAAATCATAATCACGATTATTTATTTTGGTCAAGATCACAGTAATTAACATGGCCCAGCCCTACCTGTAGACCACCTGCATTAAATGTCACTTAAAGCTTTCATCTTTGAGAGAGAGGACAAAATCAAGCTGCCTCAGATCTGAAAACATCCACAGGTGTTTCTGTCCATCCTTCCTCTGTGAGAAGACAACTCAGCGCTATGGGTCTGAAAGGATGTGTAGCTGATAAAAAGCCTCATTGAGTTAAATATCCAAAAGAAGAACATTTGCATCACAGATGTGAAGGTTTTATCGGTTGTAATTGAGATTACACTGTTCAAAATTAAAGTCCTCTCAACTTAAAATGATAAGGTAACTGATTAAACAGATTTTGGGGTTCACGCAACTCAAATTTCTTAGTTTAGTCAACAGTTTTCTTAAATTGGTTTACTCTAGTTGGGAAACTTTCCTTCACACAATCCCATCAGGCGTTTTCTCCTATTGGAGACTTACGGATGGCTGTGGCATCACTGGTCTTCTGTTGAGGTGATGGCTTAGTCCACTGCAATACTTAAGAACAGCTGAAGTTGCTCAGATTTTGTGTCCATGAATGTTTCACACACTGTGGAAAACATTTGTTGTTTTAACTTTGAAAAGCAGTGTGGTCACATGTAGTGCAACTGTCTAATATAAAGTAACATAAAGTGAGTCTCCTGAAAAGAATGGAAGCTATAATGAAGGTAAAGAGTGACACACTAAACACTCAGTCATCTGAGATTATATTTAGTTGTCAAGGCTTCTGTGTATTTTTCTGTTCAGTTTGTGTTTACTGCCAATGAAACTTGAATAACTTGTACTTAATGGCTGTTTTGGCTGTAAATTACACAAACAAAAGGTGGTCTCTAACTTTTGCACAGTTATTTTGCTATTTAAATGTAATTGCACATAAACTACATTCTGTATTTTGTAATCTGAAAAGCTAAAGATGCTCATGTAAAGTTTCTGCACTCTTCACACAATTTCTCCACTTGTTTCAGTGAACTACGGGTCCATAACTCATAAAACTCAAACATGAATAAATATTAACTGTGTCTTCTAAGGGTTAACTCCTCACCCGCAGCTCTTTCACTGAACTCATGCCAGCTGTTTCCTCAGTGTTAAACCCACAGCGCGCGTGTGTTGGTACTCACCGCTGTCATGGTCCGACTTGTTGTCCTGCTCCGTGTCCGTGAGGGTCAGGGCAGAGTTTGATTGGCTGGACAGGTGGGAGTCATGTCCGTGGGGCTTCATGCCCCTCCCCCACAGCCTTATGGCACAGTCCGGGGAGATCCCCCCCACCATGTTCTGGACGTGGTCCGGTCCGGTGGGTTGCACGTGGTGATGGAGTCCAGTTTCAGCACAGAAACTCAAACCACGGCGAGGAGCCGGGCCGCAGATACCAAGCTGGCGAAGCGAGAGAGTCTGACCTGCAAAGTTGGAAAAAGATCACATCATCAACTAAAAAGCATCAAATTCCATGTTGTTGTGGGTAGTCCAAGTGTGAATAAGTGAACACATCCTCTACACAGACACATGTCTGCATATTTCAATACACAATTACTATCTATTTACTGAATTTAACATATTAGCAAATACAGTAAATAGAAATTGGGTGCTAAAATTTGCAAACAGGCCTTATTTAAGTGTGTTATCTGTAGAGGAACAGAATGACCTTTAAGTGGACCTTCTTGTAAATGAGATGTTTAAAGGACTTCCACATGTGTAAAGGCTCCAGGAGAGAATTACTATATGTAACGATATATTACTATATGTTTGTGTTTTGTCATCATTTAAACAAGCATGGATGCACTGATAAGGAATCTCTCAGCTGACTCTGAGAACTGATATTTAACTCTTTGATTACTGATACCAATATTAAATAATTTTGTAAAACACTCCTATAATCCATATCCAAACATAGAGAGTTCATTTATTTATTTATTTTTACATTATTTGAAGATTCAAAAGTTTGTTGTCATATGCACACAGCAACAGAAAGTAACACTGCACAATGAATTTTGTCTGATAGTATTTATATAGTGCTTATATAGTAAGTATGAAATAAAAGAAAGCACAAAATAGTAATAATGATAATGACAATGTCTGCGTGCATTTATAGCTAACAGGCAATAAAACAGAACATATTCACTATGAATACAAATGAAAAGTCTGTGCAAAAGCAGCTAAATAAAGACTCAAGTTCTCTTAAATATATACATATATATGATAAAGAATTTCTCAGCTGGTACTGAGAAGTGGTATTTAACTCTTTGATTACTGATATCATAATAAGTAATTTTGCATTGTAAAACAACACTATAAACTATATCAAAGCGTTCTAAGTTTATCTCTTTTTATTTTTTAAATTATTTGAAGATTGAAGATACAAGACTTCATATGCATCAAGAAACAGCCAGGAACAAGCACTGTACCATGAAATTCTTACTCTGCACCACCTCTCTTTACTATATAAACACTATACAGATACTAAGCACTAAATAAATAATGAATAAAGAAAGAGGCAAAATAAGAAGAGCATATATATCGCTGTTGTTGGAAGAAAACCTCGTATCTCCAAAATGGCAACTTTACAGGAGAAGAAAAAAATCTACTTTACTTTTAATGTAAGTCAATGGAACGAAATTTTTTTGTCATTTTGGGTCATTTCATTTGGCCCATTCATCATGAAATTTACATACAATGTAAAGAGCAACAGGCATTTTCAAATTATGTTAACTTGTTATGTTATATTAACTGAAAAACTACAAAAATGGAGATACAAGGTTTTCTTCCGACAGCAGCAATATATATATATATATATATATATATGGATAGATAGATAGATAGATAGATAGATGGGTAGATAGATCGATAGATAGATAAGAGTAATGTGAATATAAATGAAACTACTGGGCAAATGCAGCTAAATAGACCCTACAAATATACATATGTATGTATATGTATCTTAGTGTACAAATTATTGAAAATAATTACATACAAAAAATATACAGTAATGCACAGAAATAGTCAGTGTATGAAAACACCAGGTGCCCTTTACACTGTGTGAGCATTTCATGATGAAAGCACTAATAGGAATTATCCAAAATGACTTAAATGAAATCTTTGTATTAACATATTGTCTGTCAAAAAACTTCTACTGTCTATTGGCTATGGTCATTTCTCATCTTTTGACATAATTTAAAAACACCAGCTGCTCTTTGCAGTGTGTTAAAATTTCATGATGAATGGTCCAGTAGAAATGCTCTAAAATTACTCTGGAAAAAAATGGATCCATTAACTCCCATTTAAAGTTAATAAAGTTTTCTCCTTCTTGGAGATACAGGATTTTGTGCTGACATCAAGTGTAAGGCAGGCAAAACTCTAAAGATGGATCATTGATCAATTTTAATCAATCAGACATAATAACTACCGTTAATATTTACATATTTGGCAGAAACTCTTTTCCCAGCCCAGGAACTCTATACAGTATAGCAGGGTGTGTGTTGAGTGGTGTCCAAAATAATGGAAACACCAGATGAAATACTCAAATTTTGGTGATTTTATTAGAAATACCCACCATATACAGTCGTATGCAAAAGTTTGTGTACCCTGGTCAAATTCCATGATTTATTGATTTTCTAAGTGTGAACAAGTAAACATCCTCTACACAAAACTCACTTCTGCACATGTTAATGGAGAAATACAGTTTATTCTATGAATTTAACACATTGGAAAAAAAATAAAACATAAGCATGATGTGAGTGCAAACTTAACATACTTTAGCAAATAAACAGAAACTGTGTGCTGAATGTTGCAAACAAAATGCCACATTTGAGCGTGTTCTCTGTAGAGGACATGTTAACTTACGTTCGCATATAATCAGTAAAACATGGAATATCCTCAGGGGTCCATCAAAGGAGAAGGACCACCACTGGACCACCGCCGACCACCTCAAAGCATTGATTAGTCCTATTTTCTAATGAATACACTCTTTATTGTGTATTCATTTTTCTTCTCCTTATTCACTATAACATAACTCTAGAAAAGGATGGGTTCTCCCTGAGTCTTGGTTCTTCTCTGAGGTTCTTCTTCATGCTCTCGGGGAGTTTTTCTCACCACTGATGCTTTCGGCTTGCTTGCTTGGGGCTTTGACTTGGAATCCTGTCAAGCTGCTTTGTGATGATGCCAATTGTAAAAGCTCCACACAAATAAAACTGAATGGAACTGAATGTTTTGTGAGTGTTGGATCATCCAAGATGAGACACAAACCTTTAAAAGAATAATTACGTTTTTAAAGGTTTTTAAAAAAGCTCATACACAAACTATTTTTTTGAAGGTCCATTTATAACATTTATGTGTTTTTATGTACCAAAAACAGTCATAATTAATTTCCACATGACCATTTTCCAACTTCTCTTTATCCTATACAATTAAACAGGCTGCTTTTGTTGCTGCACCTTTAAGACTGACATATGTAAATGAGCTCTGCTCTGACTGGCTGCCTCTCACTAGCCACATTTACATGCATCTTAATAATTTGTTAGTAATCTGACTAATAGCTCAATTTGAATAGAATACGTCCATGTAAACACTAGACTATTCTAGTCAGATTGAGGCCATTCGAAATACAATTTCTATCCGATTGAACGAGGTGGGTAATCCTGTAAATAATCCGTTAAATAGAAGAATAATAACCATGTAAACGCCTGTATCTGATTACATTTCCAATCGCAGAGTATGTTCTGCGCATGTGCGTCAGATCATAGAAAAAGTTTATTACATTCAACATGCAGGGAGCAGAAACTGGTCTGCAGAGGAGACAAAGTTTATGCTTTGAGCTTCAAAAGACGGTGGTGGGACGGGTGTCCAGCTTATGTGTCTCAGAACACGACGTCTTCCTCTCGCCCTTCTTTAATAAGCGCAGGTGAAGTACGTTTTCCTGAGTCTGACATCATTTTAAAATAATTAAAAACACAAGCACTGCTCACTGCTGCTCGTCTCACTCTGACTGGACTCACATGATGCTGGTTGTCATGGTAACGTCTACACTAAGTGGTGCTCTATGAATGCACATAATTTTGGATCAGATTACTTGTAGTGAGCATGTAAACGGAGATTTTCCATCAGATTGTTGAGTACAGTGAGCCACTGTGCAGTCTGGGCTCAAACATTCCTTTTAACTTTACCATAGGTGGGCAGGGCTAAACTGCTGAATAGGTGAGTTAATGTATATGTGTTGTTTTTTTCCCCTCACATCACAAAAACAGTGACTACAAAACCAGCAGTTAGTGTCCATTTATGGACTGAATAATGTTTTAAAATATTTACAAACTACATTTTATTTCAGAGGATGAAGAAGGAAAATTCCCATGAAATGAGCCCTTTAAAACTGGTACTTACTTAACGCCGCAGTCAAACTGTGTCACAAATATTGGAACAGCTCAACTAAACTCTAAGACACATTTACAGAAAAGTCTTTCATTTAAACATTTCACTTTACACTGTAACTTGTGCAGTAGTTTCAGAGCAGTTATTATAACAGTCATAAGTCCCCAGATTAATAACTGAACAAAGATTTTATAGTTTAAGTTCAGGGTTAAATTATTGAGTTCAGCATCAGTTCCTCATTCAATCTTAACATGTAATATTTAGACGCTTGTTTGCAGTGTGCTGCTGTGTCTTTGTGTTCTTTATCTTAAAAACAAAACCGTTTTCATCCTACTCAAATGTAGGTCAACTTCTTCACACACCCACCCTCCCCTTTAAAAAGTAAATAAATAAATAAATTAAGAGCAGAGGCATTAGAAAGGAGGAGAAAAATCAGGACTGGTGATAAGCTGGAAAGTTTTGGAGCTGCCCTGTTTTCTGTATAAAAACAAATGTCCTATATCAAGGTTGCTGAACTTAAATAATGAGACTGAGTATTATTTTGTACTGCGTACAGATATTCAGCTACTAAAAAGGCTGCATTCTGTGGAAATAGATTGATATACAGATACATAAATGACCTCTTAATGAGAAATGACAATAAGTAGCCACCACTGTCTTATAAACTTACATAAATAACACATATAATACTAATCAAAATCAGTGAGCTGTAAAATAGTACACGAGGATGCATTTCTAATCCAATTCTGCAGTGTCAAAATCAATTAACTCATTATTTTAGGATATATTTAGAAGCTAATTTATTTATGTTGCTATTAACTTGGCCCATCGTTTTTTTTCTATGGGAAATATAAACAAGTGCATATTTCAGTTTTGAACTTTCACAGCTAGAATGACATTTAATATGTGTATTATATACATAACTTCATCTGACTGTACACTTACACTTAGCACCCACATCATTAATATAATATTATAGTCAACTATGTATTAGTTCCCCCATATTTTATTCGCTGTTCTGAATTCTGCATCAACGCCA